CGAGATGCAACTATTTGAAAATCTGGAATCTGAGGGTGCAAAAAAATCTAAATATTGATAAAATCGCCTTTAAAGTTGTCCAAATGAAGTTCTTAGCAATGCATATTACTAATCAAAAATTAAGTTTTGATATATTTACGGTAGGAAATTTACAAAATATCTTCATGGAACATGATCTTTACTTAATATCCTAATGATTTTTGACATAAAAGAAAAATCGATAATTTTGACCCATATAATGTTTTTGTGGCTATTGCTAAAAATATACCCCAGTGACTTAAGACTGGTTTTGTGGTTCCAGGGTCACATATATGAAAATAAAACCATTATAACTGATAAAATATGTAAACATTTGTTAATTTTTTTCTGTCCATTTTAATTCGATTGTCATCCGCAGTGCATCATGTGATTGTAGTTCTTTCACTCATTAAAGCCTTTAAATTCAGAGTTTTGTCATTTTCTCCGCTTTTCAAATTTTTTTTTTTTTTGCTTTGCAGAGTCTGTAATGTTGTGACTCACGTTGTAGCTGGTTGGTTTGGTTAATGGCTTATAACGCTTTAACAAAGACTTTTTTTAAATCCTTATGTACATTTTTACATTTGCATTTTTACGTGCAATCACAGAATGTTGCGATTTTTGTTGCTACAGTGTTTTCTTCGGTTGATAGGGTGTTCTGAGTGGTTGCTGGGTGGTTTCTGATTTATTCAAAGATTGTTAGATCAGATAATGGGATCATATAATGGTTTTATGGATGAATATGAATGGTGATTTTTATTATAAATGTGTGGTAGATGTCATGAGTGCAGTGAGCTGGACAGGTTTCAGAAAGCTTAGAGCTGCATGCAGGGGCAGGGCTGGAGATGAGGGTGTGTGATGGGGGATTTTACTCCTCTATGGTGGGTAAAAAGGGTTAAACGATGGGGGAAGTGTAAACAACATCTGTTTAGCCCCGACCTTACCTCAGTTTCTGACAAAATACTGGTAACTACCGCTAATACTACAGTAAAACAGTGTCACATGCTTTTAGGTTCTAAAACTACTTGCATTGTTTGAAGAAGTTCATGTTTTGATTTATTGATTTATTGTTTTACAGTAGTAACTGTGGTATTATTGTGTAAATGTTATGCATACAGATAATAAATGTTGGATGTGCATGGATATATTCACACCCATCCAAACACAGAACACTGTTTCTTCAGTGACGTATCTGTGTAGTGCTGGATAAACACACGTGGTCAGTTTTGCATGCGGTTCATTTGTCTGCAGCTTATTTACTGTTTAATTATTGAGATATTGAGCTGTGAAATGACCGTGCCATCGCTGACTGGCCACTTCCTGTGCACTCGTGTTTTCCTTCCTGTCCCGTTTAAAATTTCAGTAAAAAAATCAGTATTCAAGCTGTTGAAAGTGAAGAATCACCCAAATATTAGGCCTATATACTAGAAATATATTACATAGTGTAAAGCAGCGATAAACATTTTAAACCATATTAAATCAGAAAGTGCCTTCCAGTTCAAATAAACTTGTCTTTGAATAAACCTTGTGTAAAAGTGTCTTTTGGCATTTAAAAATTTGTCAATATTGCTGTAGCTAAACATTTGATGAAGAAACCGTTTTTGCTCAGAAATTGATAGTAAATTTCACAAACAATTGCAAACAAACAGCAAAGAATGCATTGGATTAAATATGAAATTTTGACGTAGAAAAACTGAAATGGTACTTTCCTGTAAAACATACTCTAAAAAGCATTTTTACAGTGTGGAAAGTCTTGTCGAGCACATTGCATTGTGGGATTGAGTATCTGTAATGCAGTTGTTTTCAAATATAGCACATAATTTGGGTAGGCATATTGTGCACAGAATGCTTATTGTACTTTCTTTTTAAAAAAGTATGCCATAGTTTGCCATTGTAAATATACAGTTTCTCTGTGTTTTTTCCCAACTGAGGCTACTGGTTTATATGAGTATATTGCTTTTGTGTGTGTTTTATACACGTCTGTTTCGGAGTGTATTCTGTGTGTATTCGCGCTCCATCTGAGAGGCGTGTGCTGTAATTGATATGCCACAAGTAATAAATCAGCCGGCCGCCTGCCACCACTCGCCATTATCTGAGGAAACGGGTTTAGAGGTCTGTCCGCAGTGTGTGGACGTGAATTTATGCTGTTTTCTAAAGCAGAGGGGCTGTGAGACGACTCGCAGAGTAACGTGTCCTCGGGCAGCTGTGGGAAAAATGGAGAATGAATTGACTTCCATATTAACTGTGTCTCATGTTCCTTATGCTGAAATGTACCCCAGCGCTTGTTTCGTTGGTGTGTGGCAGTTTCTAAGGATGAATCTCACAAAACCTGTCAGGAACGTTTCTTGCCCGAAGCATTTTTTGCTTAAAGATAATGAAGAAGGACCATTACAAGTTTTTGCATTGCATTTCCTTGATGATGCAGCGGTTGTTTTAAATAATTGAATAAAACATTTAAAAAGTGTTTCTGCGTATAAGTTATTGGATGCTTATACATAAATAAAGCTTGTGGTAGATGTGTCAGTAAATAAAGGTTCTATGACTGTAATGTGTTTGCATAGTAGTCTGTCTGTGGTTTTAGGACGTGTGTGAGTGGCTCATTTGACACGAGTAGAATCTGATGCCAGTGATAATATTGAGCTAGTTTGTGGATTCATTGATTGGTGTCATTTAAGTAGTTACTGATCGTCTGAAGTGCAGGTACTCATGGGAAATTGGCAAATCTAAAAGTGGAAGATGAGAACACAAGATGAAAAGAAAGCCTTCAGGGATGTTAGACAAGAATTTCTTTTATCTCTTGATGAGATTGATATTTCTCCTCAGTTGTCAGTACTTTCTGAGGCGTTTAGGGAGACATTCTTTCATTTGTATTTTCACATTCATTCGTTTCAATACTCATGCTCGCTCATATCTCTAAACTCGCTACAAATACTTGTGTGTTGACCGTTTTAACCGTTTCATTGCCATGTAGCTGTTGGAGGACACACAGATGCACTTTGGTTTGTTATTTATGGTCGACTCTGTCATGGAACGATCCGCTCAGATGAAGAGAAATTAGGTTTGGGAATCTCGTACAGGTTTCTGCCTTAATCATTCTGTATTTCGCGCACATGCACACAAACATTACACATAGTAACACAACAGGCACAAAATATAGCCTAACTTATGATTTGCCTTACTGTGGCGGTACCATAGTAAATTGATGGTGATTGCATGGTACTGAATGGTTACAAAATTCATGTACTTTTGTAGTATTTCAGAGAAAACCACGGTACTACCATGTCATGGGTTACACTGGGAATGTTTGTAAGGGTTACCAAACTTGCATATATGGAAAAATAACAGAACAATTCAAAATTTCTATATAAAATATGATGGCAGCTCATCTCTGAAATGGAATCGTTTTAGTCGGTTGGTCCTGTGCTGATAGACAGAGGAATAGTACTTTCCCTTTTACAGTCCATTTTCACGCATGTTTCTGGAGCTCTGTGGAATGACGCCACTTCCCATCATCCCGTCCTTGGGGAATGATGGACAGATAAGAAGGCCCTCAATCACCCGAACAGGAAAAAAGCAACGGAGATAAGAAATGGGCAAAGAAAAGGCGAGAGAAAGGAAAACATTCTTCCTATTTTCCCTCAGCTCTATCTCCCCTTTTTATTTCCTTTATCTTTCACAGTTTTCGCTTGCCTCTGGCTCTCTCCTGTTGCTGAGATTTTCCTGTTTTTGTAGTTCTGACTCCATGAAATCCCCAGTGGAAATGGTGAAGGTGAACTCAGATTTGTTTGTTTGGATTTATTTTCCATCATCAGCAGAATCACAGTCTGTTTTCCTAACAATTAAGTAGGTAGTAATTTTTATCAGGTGCTTTTATCCAAAACAACTACAGGTATAGTTCCTCTGGAGCAACCTGGGGTTAGGTTTCAAGCGTAGACTGTATAAAAACATGGGCGTAGTGTCCGTGACGTCACCTGTAGGTTTCTGAAGAGCATTTTTAAAGCCCAAAGTGGGTGGAGCCGGCTGTCGACATCTTGGCAGCGCGTCACTCACACGGAAGGTTGACGCTTGGTTTCAAGGCAGCCCTTTTGAGTTACCAGTCCAGATTTTTATTTACTGTAATATCAGTTCTGGGTTTGTTGATCTGTTGACTTTAAATGGCAATGTCTAAACCAGGGTTCATCAAATCTTAATACATTTTTGAGTAACCCTGAAGATCTTGATTAGCTTGTACAGTTATCTTTGATTAGGTCAGTGGCTGTCCAGAGGCAGATTTGAGGAACCCTGGTCTAAACTTATGGCCCAGTTACTATTAATAATTGGTGTATAGGCCTAGCAGATTTTTAGCACAGTTTACTGGTTTGTCACCACTTTGGATCATTTAGCCTAACCATGGTGTACAGCTATAAATGAATCTTCATAATGCATTGTTGTGGAACTCTTCCTGGCTTTATAGTGCAATCTGTGTTCTCAGAGCTGTAAATTTGAAAATGACAAGATGTATAAATCACTTCAAGATGACTTGAAACGGCACAATATCAATTTCTTTCCCTTGTAATGTTCAGAACAACTTCAAGCATTTCAGACCTCAAAGACTTACTTTAGACTTGCTTGTTTTCAGGGCACTTTTAAAGGTGCACTGTTATGTACTTGCATACTTCATCTACACAATGCTGCTGTCAGATGCTTTGTGATGATGGATGTCTTATGCCCATATTGAAGCAGGACCAACTCTACAGCTGCGTTGTTGCTTAGTGAAGAGTTTGTACACAGTGCGTCTCCAATCCATCTTCACCCTCAGAGCTATCAGTCTTAGTAATTAAAAGTTGACACGGTTCACCTCATTTGACCACACGATTCTAAATGATTTGTGGCAAAATGAAAGATATCGTCATCACTCTCTTTCCTCACTGTTTGACTTTGATAAATGATGCATAATAAATTGGATATGTTCCATTTGCACTCATAATGTGTTTTTTGCCCTGCAGGAGCCCAGGACGAGGAATTGAGGTGGATGTTGAAGTGGATGACCGTTGTGTGAGAAGGCAAAGAACCGTTCAATCAATAAAGCCTGTGCTGAGTCCCTTTCTTGTTTGCTGAGTTTGTTTAAAAGTCCCCGATTGAAGACGAAGCGTGGACCACCATATTCTTCACTTGTGAGGACCAGGGCAGAAATGTGGCCTCAGCAGGGGCCACAATGCTTTATTAGCCCAAGGACTGTGGTGCTTTTTGGGCTGCTGACTATCTGCATATTCCCTCACCTTTCTGAAGGATCCCCAGAGCCATTTAGGTCCTTCTTGCCTCCTGACTGGGGTCTAACGCATTTAGCCATCCATAACAAGACAGGGGATGTGTACGTTGGTGCGGTAAACTGGATCTACAAGCTTTCTAGCAACTTGACCAAGTTGAGGAGTCATATGACGGGTCCTGTAGTGGACAACGAGAAATGCTATCCACCTCCAGGTGTACAGTTATGCCCCCATGACCTTGCCCCAAATAGTAATGTGAACAAGCTGCTGCTAATAGACTATGCCCAAAACCGACTCATTGCTTGTGGTAGCACCTCGCAAGGCATCTGTCAGTTTCTACGCCTGGATGATCTTTTCAAGCTTGGCGAGCCACAGCACCGTAAGGAACACTATCTCTCCAGCGTCGTCGAGTCAGGAACCATGTCCGGAGTCATCATCTCTGAGGGTCATATCAGCAAGCTTTTCATTGGAACTCCCATCGATGGAAAATCAGAGTACTTCCCAACTCTTTCGAGCCGTAAGTTGATGGTCAATGAGGAAGATGCTGACATGTTCAGCTTTGTCCACCAAGACGAGTTTGTCTCCTCCCAGCTGAAGATCCCCTCGGATACGCTGTCCAAATTCCCGACGTTTGACATCTACTACATATACAGCTTTAGCAGTGAACAGTTTGTCTACTACTTGACCTTGCAGTTGGATACCCAACTTACTTCTCCTGATGCCAGTGGGGAACAGTTCTTCACCTCTAAGATCGTGCGACTCTGTATCGATGATCCCAGGTTCTACTCCTACGTGGAGTTCCCAATCGGATGCACCAAAGATGGCGTAGAGTACCGACTGATCCAGGACGCCTACTTGGCCAAACCTGGAAGGCAACTTGCAAACTCTTTGGGCATATCCGAGCAAGAGGACATATTGTTTACGGTCTTCTCCCAAGGCCAGAAGAACCGGGCCAAACCCCCAAAAGAGTCAGCACTCTGCCTGTTCACGCTAACGAGAATAAAGGAGAAGATAAAGGAAAGGATTCAGTCGTGCTATAGAGGAGAGGGCAGGCTGTCTTTGCCCTGGCTACTCAACAAGGAGCTACCATGCATCAACTCGGTAAGTCCACCCTCTCATGGCAGGCCATTAAGACGCACTGCATGGCTACGATTGATTTGTTGGGTTGGATGAATGGGTGTGCTTCAGTAATGTCCCCTGCCAGAGTTCAACTTCCATTATCTTGGTGCAAAGGGTGATTGTGATTAGATATAAGTGGCGAAGTTGTAGATCAGACTAGGGTTGTGAGGTTGGGACAGCTGGGAATGTTAAGGAGTGGCCTAGTAAAGTCCTCTAGATGACTAGAGTCTACTCATTGGGTTGGGGACTGCAAATTTGAGGACGGCCCTGGTTAAGACTACTGCACAACCATTGTCAAGAACCTGAAGACCTAGACTATTACCTTGTCTAACTGTGTCTAATAGTCTAACGTCATTTAAATTGTTGTAGAATATAAATATCACTTGCACTTTTCCTGTCACCCACCTCCTGTTTCCTTTTGCGTCCATTCTCTCTCGTTGTCTTTCTCCCAAGTGCTTCCATCATTCAGTCAGACAGGAACATCATTAGGGGAGTTGAGTAAATTTCATGAGTTGCTCTCTCGCTCATGCTATCTAATTTGTTTAGCGAGGCTAGATCCCATCTTCTCTGCCATCAGAGTCCGCTGGGACCAGGGCTTGCTTTTCGTCCTCTCGTTCGCTCGCTCTTAATCTCTCTCTCCTCATTCGTCTCTGTTCGTCTCACTCGCTCTGTCTTTCTTGGGGCTTTCAGTGGCAAAGAATGGCTTTCATTTAACCAAGCACTCAGAGATTAAGATCCCCATTTTTATTTTTCTGACTCATTCCAAATTGGTTTGATCTTTGCTATAAGTAGAGCTCTAAGCGGGTGGAATAATAGAGAATGAAAGACATTTTTGTGAAGCTAAACATATAGATATAGAGTGGCTGAATGTGTGATGTCTAAATACTTCAACATTAGAAATCGTCAAAGCTCTTTACTCTTTTTTTGTTTCATAAAGTTCAAATATATAACAATGGGCTTTTCACACTGTGCTTACCACTGGCTTAGTGTCTTTTTAAATCCTTGTTTATGGCCATTTTTAATCCTGGTTATCCCTGGCCTTTACACAACTGACCCCAAATTTCAGCCCTAAAATTCTACAGTGAGAAACAATTAAGGAAGAGCCTAGATGGTTGACTAGTCATCCAACTAACTAGTCAATTAGTGATTTGGTGGCAATTACAGTGCTGCTTTTAAATGGAGGTTTATTTCACAATTGTAGCAGGAACAATTCTTAAATTGTTGCATATAAACAACTCAACAAAACTTCTTCAACCTTGAATGGTTGAATGCAGAGTGAGTTTAACCCTGTGAATCCAAATGCTCAGGTTTCGTCGAAGCACATCCAGGATGCATATAGGGACGCGTTATGCTAGTTATTTGGAGCCTTTCTCATGACACTAAAAATTTCAATTTCAAAAAGCCCTTTAAGATTTTTTCAGAGGTTATGCTAGTTTTGAATAACTTTTAGAGAAGATTTCTTATTTTTGCAGTCTATATGGAAATCAAAGTGTCTGCTTATTTTTGGCACAGTCCGTGGTGTAAAATGTAAATCATGTTTAAAAATATTGTTTCCAAACAAATGTTCTTTCATTTTCTATAATCTTTATCAGATTCAAATTTGCTTAAAGTTTTTAAAACCACAACACAACACAAAACATTTTGTTTTTCTTAGTTCACTCAAATAGTTCACTCAAAAATCTAAATTCTCTCATTTACTGACCTGAAGATGGATGTCAAATGAGTTTGCAGTGACATAATGGTGAGTAAATGATTACACTTTCTGGGTTTCGAACTATTACTTTTGATTATCCTTGTTAAATTTGGTGGTTGTTGTTGTTGGCGTGCTGCTTGACGTCAGTGATTAAGTACACCGCTAATTAACCTCTTTAATGCCGCATGTCTGACAGAAGCGCCGCATCTGAACGTGTTCTTACTCACAGGGACAGAAATGAGCCGTTTAAATCTCATCAAAACAGAATGCTGAAAATCTGGTGCTGCTCAAATGATTCACGCTGATCAGATCAGGCAGCATGCTTAATATAACTCGTTTAACGCAAGAAATCTAAACATAGTTTGTACAGTCACATGTCTCTCTGTCCCGCTCTCCCTGTGGAATGTGGTGTGTTTGGTTTCGCCTCTGCCCTGGGCAGACACATAATCAGCAGTCTGAAAACATACACACTCATGCACGTCTATTGTTGTGAGGTTATATGTGTGTGTGTGTGTGTGTGTGATGGTATGTCCCTCTGCGACCTGTTTAGTCCTGCATTAGTTTTCACTTCACTAGTAAAGTGTGAATGTGTGTCTGTGTGAGAGAGAGAATGTAATTACTTTAGCACACACACTTTTGAGTGAATGCAATGCTCATCTTGTCTGTGTGACCCATGAGGATTGAGAGAATACTGCATCACATCAGCCATCAATCGAGTGTGAAATAGCAGTGGGACCAGAGCTCTGATCCAAAATTCATCATAGGTGCTCACGACTTTAAAAAAAAAACATACACTACTGTTCAAATGTTTGGTGTTTGTAAGACATATATATATATTTATATATATATAAAACAACACTTTTATTGATCAAGGATGGTTTAAATTGATCAAAAGTGACCGTAAAGACATTTATAATGTTACAAAAGTTTACTGTTTCAAATAAAAGCTGTTCTTTTGAACTTTCTATTGTTCTTCAAATTCTAGAAAAAGAATAGAAAGGTGAATCCTGAAAAATAAAATGTATCAGTTTCTACAAAAATATTGGGCAGCACAACTGTTTCCAACATTGATAATAATCAGAAATGTTTCTTGAGCAGCAAATCAACATATTAGAATGATTTCTGAAGATCATGTGACACTGAAGACTGGAGTAATGATGCTGAAAATACAGATTTGATCACAGAAATAAATTACAGTTTAACAGATATTCACATAGAAAACAGCTGTTTTAAATTGTAAAAATATTTCACAATATTACAGTTTTTACTGTTATTTTTGGATCAAATAAATCCATCCTTAGTGAGCAGAAGAGACTTCTTTTAAAAACATTAAAAATGACTTGAATAGTATTATATATCTTTACAAATAAGGCAATTCTATAATGCTATAATTCTATCGAATACAAATTTCAGCTTTTTTTCTGTACAGCTGTTCAAAGGGATTGCCTTTATGCTCATAGTTAAAAGTCTGATATTTAAATAAGCTCAGCTCATGATGGCATAAAGATGTTGAATTAAATTACTTTTGATGTTTTCAAAGTGATAAATCCTCCAGCTGAGCTTTCAGTGTGTGCTAGCGCGAGAGCATCTGACTGCTTGACATCAGGTTTTTAGCTCAGAGGAGGAAAAGCGAGTTTGCTAAGTGAATTGATGCCCGTCTGACTCCTTCCTCTTTCTTTATTCTCTTTCCTTTCTTCCTGCTGTGAGCTAGAGACTCTTCTGGATGGATTAAGACAGAAAGAAAAACAGAGTAAAGGGGAGGTGAAGAGAGAAAGAAAGGTTATTGATGTATGCCTGGGCGGCTTTAGAGGACGCGCGCACACACGGACACAAACAGACACACACACAAACAGACACACACACAAACAGACACACACACAAACAGACACACACACAAACAGACACACACACAAACAGACACACACACAAACAGACACACACACAAACAGACACACAAACAGACACACTCACTCACACACACACACACACACACACACACACACACACACAGTCACACACAGTCACACACTCACACAGTCACACACTCACACACACACACACACAGTCACACACACACTCACACAGTCACACACTCACACACTCGCACACACACACACACGCACACACACACAAACAGACACACACGCACACACACAAACAGACACACTCACACACACACACACACACACACACACAGACACACACACACACACACACAAACAAAATAAAATAAAATTCAGCAGCACAACTGTTTTCAAAATTGATAATAATCAGAAATGTTTCTTGAGCAGCAAATCAGCATATTAGAATGATTTCTGAAGATCATGTGACACTGAAGACTGGAGTAATGATGCTGAAAATTCAGCTTTGATCACAGAAATAAATTACATTTTAACAGATATTCACATAGAAAACAGCTATTTTAAATTATAATAATATTTCTAATTTTTTTTTACTGTATTTTTGATTAAATAAATGCCTTGGTGAGCAGAAGACGACTTTTCAAAAACATAAAAAAATCTTACTGATTTTACTGACTTATATATATGTCACTTAACTAACATATACTTAAAAATGGCAGTCTGTTGGAAAATGAAAATAACAGTAAATTGGTTTTAAAAGTATTGTAAATATATATTAGCCTTTTCCCACTCTCTAACTTCCGCGTCCTGACGTCTCCTTTCCAGAGTTTCCTGCAATACAGTGACCTAGCTTTTTCATTTTGTCATCCATGTGATAAATAACCATACAGCTGTCTACCACTGACTTCCGCTGATATTGTTTTTAGGAAAACCCACCATGACAGTCCGTCTTACCAAGCCACTGACTTTTAGATTGAGTCCCTTTTCTAACTCTGCCTCCGTTTGTCTCTTCCAGCCTCTCCAGATCGACGATAACTTCTGTGGGCAGGATTTTAACCAGCCTCTAGGGGGCACCAGCACTATCGAGGGCATTCCGCTCTTCATAGACAAAGATGACGGAATGACTTCGGTAGCTGCTTACGATTACCGTGGCAACACAGTGGTTTTCGCAGGAACACACAACGGCCGAATGAAGAAGGTAAGCCTCGTAGAGTTGCACATCTTATGGTTTTTTGATACTCTGTGTGCATTAATGGTATCTTGTGGAGTTTTCTTTTTTCTTTTTCTTTTTTTTTCTTTGTTTGGTTGACTTAGCAGATTGTTGAAAGCTATAGTTGAAGAGGTTTAAGATGCAATTCTTGGTGTTGTGTGTTGCAAATGTTTTTTTATTTATTTATTTATGTTATGTTGCTGTGATGGAGAATTGTTGGGCTATGAGAAGTTGAAACCATCAACCAATTAGTTAAACTGACAAATCTGTTAAATGAAACATCAAAACGGATGCCATTTAGTTTCTTAGTGCATGTGTGACTGATTTACACATTATTCCAAAAAGACAGTTTGTTTCATTTTTCATTCAAATGAAATCGCTCTGCTTCTTCAGAATTAATGGAAACCATCAACCAACTAGTTAAAGTGACACAATAGTTTCCTAATGCATGTTCCTGCTTATATTCTGAAAGATTTATCAAATTGCTCTGCTTCTGAAACAGCTTTCCAATTCATCTGATATCACTTAGGAGTGAACTGTTGGTTAATGTTAACAATGGCAAATGCTATTTTAATTAATGTTGCCTTTAAAACTAAAGCATGTCATTATCCATTGATGAATGCTGATTAGATTCAGTTGTTGTGTTTGGGACTGTAAGTAGATATTAAATGGTGTAGATGTTTACAGCAGACATTTAGAGATGATGGTTGTAGTTTTCATTCTTATGACATAGACATTGCATTGTTGCGTTGTGGAAAGTGGTTTTCAGACCTCCAGCATCATGTTTTGTTTCATGTTCCCGTATAGCGGTAGACCGATATATCATTAATATTAGACATTTGGCGTCTTGTAATTATCAGCATTGCCCGATAATATAGCATTCACCATTGCATGAGTCACTTATGCTTGTGTTGTTGTCATTTGTAAGTCTTTTTGCATAACAGCTGGAGCTTGAGACATTTCTGAAGTGTTTTAGATGCTAGAGGACCTGTGTGCATTGGCTCAAGTTTTCAAATAGTAGTTTGGCATCGTGGCTCATTTTTGTGGTTTTGAGGTGTGAAATGTGCAGCATGCATCAGGTGTGTGTGTGTATGATGAGCTCAGAATGAGGTGCTTTCACCATGTTGTGTGTGTGTGTGTGTGTGTGTCGGAGGCTCGCAGGAGTGGAAGGACTCACTGGAGCATCACATGATGGATTCACTGAGATGTGAAATGGAGGACAGACTCTGTCCATCCCTGAGAGATGGACTGAAGATGAGAATGAAATATCCAGCAGCTTAATGTTATGTATGACAGACAGCCACAGAAGGGCTCTTCTCTCACTGTGTCTTCAGTTACACAAACAATCTTTCACTTTTGTTGTTTTCAGGTTAATCTGTTTGTAGTATTTAGGACCCTTTTCACATTTATAATTTAGTTTAGCATCAGAGTTTGGTTTAATTGGTCGGTGTGAAAGTGGTTTTCAGATCTTGGGCGTCAGCCACTATTGTTGTCTTGTAATTAGAGATCGACCGATATATCGATTTACCAATATGTTTCCCGATATTTAAGCATTTTACAATAATAGGATATCGGTTTTGTAATATCGGATTCACCGATAAACGCCGCCATCTTGTGGATGTTTTGAGAATTGCGCGCAGGATCGCCATTGCAGCGCGTCTGAGGGGAAACAAGACAACAACAACGGCGTGCACAGGTACTTGATTTACTGTAGTTAGTAAACATAATTTAACATAACATAGCCATTAATGCACAAATGCATCGCAGTTTGAGTATAGTTCTGTGTAAATGCATAGATATACTGCGCTGTCAGCAGGCATTTCATAATCTAGAACAGCGGTTCTCAGTTCCAGTCCTCACGCTCTGCATATTTTGCACGTCTCTCTTAGTTAACACACCTGATTCAGATAACCAGCTCGTTAGAAGTGAGCTCCATGCATGAACTGTGTTCCGATTGACATGATCCCTACACAGTGTCTATTGCTTCCTACTCCCTGAGCAGGGGAAATCCGTTGAAGTTTACTTCACTTCGGAACATTCATTCACATATTTGTGCTATGCCACCACCTGCAGCGTCTTCGTTATAAATCTACAAAAACTGTAGTTTAAAATGAAGATATGACTCATTTCCATTATTTATTTTCTCCATTTTGAAAACATTAGACCTTCTACATTTATTTTGCTTATTGTTAATATTAGTGTTGCTGCTGATGCTTTAAATAAAATGTTTTTTTTTATTGTTGTAATATGAAGATTAAATTGAACATGAAAGAAAACTTTTTTTAAGATGACTGAAAAGAGGAAAAACCAAAGTGAAGTATGGACTTAATTCACTCAGTCATTTATTTACTTTATAACAGTAAGTAAGTATCGGTTCTGCATATCGGTTATCGGGCACATAAACATGCAAATAAGTGGTATCGGTTATAAAAAAAAATCAATATCGGTCGATCACTACTTGTAATTTGCATGGTTTCATGTTCCCTTATGCTTCTTAATTTTCAATGCAGAAGTAAGCCATTTACTGTGAATGTGCCAGATTTCATATTCATTCACTGCTGAATAACTAGAAGAATAACAGTGTAGTAAACCATAAAACTGTTTGCAATACAAACAAGAGTGCTTATGATTACGATAATAAATTAAAATAATTTTTGAAATATCAAGCAGCATATAACAGGCTACTTTTGTAGAGCTAAAATAACTGGAAGATAACTTCAAGATACAGATGCTTGTACTCCTCGTATAAAAAAATAAGTGGTCGACCGATATATCGGCCAATATTTGGCATTTTTATTTGCCCTATTTTTTCTGTTTGGACAACAAGTGTTTTAAGCAGGACTTTTATTTTGAATCTAGAGGTTATAAATTAGAATAAAAGTGAGAAATATAAATCTTTTTATTTTACAGTTTATTTTTTTATTTTTTTATTTTATCAAGTCCAAATTGTTTTTGTCTTCAATTGGATTCATAAAAAAAAAAAATCATTTTAGTAAATATTATGTAAAAGAAATATAAATTTATTTGCAGCAACTGTTAATCTTTAAAGGTGCCGTAGAATGGAAAACTGTATTTACCTTGGCATAGTCGTACCCTGAGCCTCAAACACCATTGTTTCCTCCTTATGTAAATCTCGTGCATGCAAAAGACCACTGAAAAATAGGCGAAACACGGAAATGCGTGCCACTAAAGGGGCATGGTTAGCTGCTTGCCAACGGTAGCCTGTTACAAGACATAAGATTTCACTTACCACATAAACAGAGTAAGGAGAGATGACTGAGGATGGTGGCGAATGATTTACAGATCCTGAGTACCACTGTCAAGCATCTGATCTTGTAAAATGTGTGGCAAGTACTGCCGCTGTAGTTTACACAGAGCACGTGCGATCGCAAATCTCGAAAGTGAAAGTAAAAAGCGATTCGAAAGCAGTTTCAAAATATTGTATCAATGCATTCTATGGCACCTTTAAATTAAATAGTATAAAATCATATATGTGACTAAAACCAGTCTTAAGTCGCTGGGGTATATTTGTAACAGTAGCCAAAAATATATTGTATGGGTCAAAATTAATTATTTTTCTTTTATGCCAAAAATCATTAGGATATTAAGTAAAGATCATGTTCCATGAAGATATTTTGTAAATTTCCTACTGTAAATATATTAAAACTTAATTTTAAGATTCCAGATTTCCAAATAGTTGTATCTCAGCCAAATATTGTCCTATCCTAACAAACCATACATCAATGGAAAGCTTAAGTGTTCAGCTTTCAGATGGTGTATAAATCTCAATGACTGGTTTTGTGGTCCAGGGTCACATATATCGGCCATCAAAAAACCTATATCGGTTGACCACTACTCTTATACTCTTAGCTGCTTGTTTTCTAATAAATTGCCTTCAGAAAGCGCCTCATATTTGTTGCATCTCCTGCAATTCTTCCAGGATACTGTTTTTCCTGGGTCTTTTGAAATAAGAGTTTAGTTAGTTAGTACCAAGGAATCAACAGGCTCTTACACTAGTTCCAACCAGGCATAACATCATAAAGCGACAAGATATTAAATGCAATTTCTTCCTTATTAATTCTTGAGAGATTCTTTACGCGTTGCACAGGCCATTTCTGTGACTCCACACGACTGAATATTAAACATCAACTTTTGGAAAAGTAATTGTTGTGATTGCTTTTTCACCTTTAGTGACAAGTTACCTGGTGTCGGTAATGGCTTCGTGTGGCTCCTGGTTAGGAGTGTTTTAGCTGGTAGTTGTTGGCGTGTGTCTGGCGATGCTGAAGCTGGATTAGTCCTGTTGATCTGACCGTCGCAGCAGAGGGCACGTCTGGGCACGAGGAACTCGTCTTGAGCTCGTCCCGTCTGGGTTTACTGCGCTAGACGATTCAGTCTGGTCAAATCAACAACAGATGGACGAGCCAGCTGCGGATTCCTCCTTTGAGCTTTTCTGGTCTTGACTCTTGAGTGTCAATAGCAGCTGTTTTCAGTTTCCCTGATTTCAGTGTCAAATGTAAAGTAAAACGAATATAAACAATGATTTTGATGCATATAGTGTCATCAGATGCTAATCCTGAGGGTGGATTTGAGCTTTGCTGTTTTTAGAAGTTAAACTCCCTGTAAGCTCAGGATTGATCTACTGACCCACTGACCTCTTTACCTCCATGACCTCAACAGATGACAGTTTATAGAGACACTTGATCTCTCTCTCTCTCGCTCTAGCTGTTTTTCTGTCTCGCTCACTCTTTCTATTATTTTCAGTAATAGTCACTGCTAGTGGTTGCATGCTTGTACACAGTTTAAATCACTGTTATTAGTGGTGTTTTCTATTACGCCGCCTGCATCATGTTTGCTGAACGAAATCCAACACTTGTTTCTTACTAATTTTAAGGTGCTGATTCCAAAAATGGTGTCTGTTTTACTGGAGCTTGTCACACTTTCGCACAAATATATGTTATGTTATGTTATAATATGAAGTCTTGTAATCT